CTGTGGAATCCAAAAGAAGTGAACTCCTAGAAGTAGAAACAGAACAGTCTGACTGAACGGGGGTGGGGAGGGCTGGGTCCTGCCTGCAGCCCCTCCCCTCCCCTCCCCTCCCCGCGGGAAGACTGCTGTGGCCCAAACTTCTGTAACTGAGGAAGGTTCCGGGGCCCGTCGCCACCACAGATGGCCATGTGGTGTGGTAGCGACCACATGGACACTTGGAGGGGACTTTCCGTTTCAGAAAGCATCTTACTCCTCCTTTTCCCTCAGGTGGCCCACATCCACCTCCCTCTGATGCAGGTGAGAAAGACCTCCTTGCTCAGAGGGGTCAGTTAACTCCCTCAAAGTCACAGTGGGCAGCAGGACTGGGCTCCCAACCCAGCAGAAGGGGAAGGAACCTTGCTGAAGGATCACTCTCAGACCATGCGGCTGGGGCTGGGGCTCTTGTCAGGGCTGTGGCCAGCTCCCTCCATGGCCTGACCAGAGCCTGGGACCCCCGGGGGCTCTCCAGGCTGAGCATCAGACGGAGCCGTGAAGGGGAGGGAGGGCAGAGCCCCCTCTCGTGGCTCCTCGTGAACTTCTAGGAGGTGGGGGCCGGTCCCCGTGACTGCAGGCCACCCCCTTTCCCTTCAGAACCCTCCCTGAAAGGTTAATCACCAAATCATCCCATCAAAGGAAATTGCACTTTGTGCCTTAAAGACCAAACTGCGCTCCAGCAATGTAGTTATTTATGGTCTCTAATAAGCATTTTCTGGGTGTGATTAACCTTTACGCCAAAGTCACACTGGGATTTAGGATGGCAGCTTCAATTCCAGCCATGCTCTGCACTGGCCTGGGGGTGGGGGCATGGGCATCAGCTGGAGCAGGAGGCTGGTGGCCTGTGCCCACCCCCCACCCTCCTGCACCCTCCTCTGCCCATCCCTTCTTCCCAGGCTCTGTCCCGACGTGGGCCATCATCCCCCTCCTCCATCTTTCCTCCACTTAAAAGACAGACCCAGATTGCCTGCTTACTGGATCTTCATCCTCACCCAGCAGCTAAAACCAGTTCAGTGAACTTGATCCCCTCAACTGTACAACCCCTGTGAAACGGGGAGCAGGAGACCCAGCTCATCCGCTTTCTGCAGTGCAGTGCCCTCTGGTGCAGGTTTATTTGGGGCCTTGGGGCTGGCAGGCTGGCGTAAAGAAGCAGAGCATTACCTTGTTAGTGAGCCTGGCGCTGCACCGGCTTCAGATCCTCAGGGCCGTTGTTGGAAAATGGAAAACCTTACGAAGTCCTGAAGGCTTGGTTTGTCAAAAATTGTTCTGAGAGGAGAAAATGTGACTAGGGCTGGTGCTGGAGGGGAGGGATGGGTGGAGGAACCCAAACAAGGGGCAGTTCCCAGGTCCAAAGCACTTTGGGTTTGCTGTGGGGGGACGGGGAGGGGGGGTGAGGGGGACATGTCCGGTTTGGGGAGGCCCAGGTCTCTGATGTGACCGCATTTGCCATATGTTCTGGCCGTGTTTTGGGGGTGGTAGACCTTGAGAAGTGGAGGATGCTGAGCACCCTTCCCAGAAAAATGACTGTCATTTACTCACAGAGTTCCGTGCCCCCCACCCTTGTGCTCTCGAGGACCCCAAATTCAGAACTCTCAGCTTTAGAAGGAAACAAACCAAGTCCTTGAAACTTTGGGGCCTGTGCCTACAATGTGGTGACTGCCTGTTGAAGGAGCTGCAAAACCGCAGTGCGTGTTGAGAGGGAGACCAGCGTGTGGTGGGAGGAAGGGCACAGGAAAACTCCAGGTTTTCCATGGAAGTGTGGCTCAGGAAGGAGCCAGAAGCCCGTACAAACCCTTCCGCGGAGCCAGAGGTGGCGCAGACGCAGGTTCTGCACAGGGCTGACCTTTCCTGAGCGGGAAGGTTGGCTCGGGAATATTAAGAAGCCTTTTCCTCTGCATAATGCAAAGCCAGCCCTCTCTCGGTAGAAAATGACTTTGTGAACCATCGTACCCAAGAGGGAGATGTAAGGGTCAGCGTCGCGGGCAGCCATCCGACAGCAGGCTGGTCTGTCGCCCCGTGGCGTTTGGTCTGGTTTCATGATGAATCTGGACTGCTCTGCTCCTGATGGGCCCCAGGACATGAAGACACGAGACTAAGACACTGGCCGGTGTATTTGCCACCTAATTAGAGCGCTGGGGTGTGAGCGCTTTGTGCTGAGGCTGCCTCACGCACCCGGGACCAGTCCAGGGTCCAGAGGGATGCGAGCACACTGACGGGGTGACGGGTTGCTCTGCTGTGGAGGGCTGGGGAAGGAGCTGCTGAGCGGCAGGGGTGTGGAACCGGCTTCTGAGGACTGCGGAGTTCACGAGGTGACGGGCGGCCAGGGTGAGCAGGGGCAAAGAACGGCAAGAGCACAGGTGGGGGGACACCAGCAGGATTGGAATTCAACGGGGGCGGACCGTGTAGGCCTTCGCAGCGGCTCTGAAGGCAGGCTGGCGCTCAAGGCGTAACCTCAGGATCAGAAGGATGATGGTGGGGTGTCAGGCTGCAGGACCGATACTTTGGAATAGGGTGTCTCCAGTTTCTTCAATTTGCCTGTGGCTGAGCTGGCTCTTGGAACCCCACTTTCATCCTCTGCGTGTGTGCGCATGTGTTGGGGGGGCAGGGGCAGGGTGGGATGGCAAGCTGGGAGCAGGGAGTGCTGGTCTCCTATCAGAAGGACCCCCTGGGGACAGGGCAGGGCTGGGTCCCTGCTCACTGCTGAGCTGAGCAGGGACCCAGCTCTTGTCCTTGAGGACTCTGCTCTCTGCTTTGCTAGTGAGAGCCACTGGCTGGCCTGGTAGCTTCCTTTTCTCTCCACTTCTGCGTTTTCATTTGGAAAATGATGGTAAAGATATGTTGCGTCTCTCTGGAGACTGCCAAGTTTAATTACTGATTAATAAAGTGTTGGAGGTTCCTTGGAGCCAGCGAGTTGAATGGGTTTGTTCTAATATCTCCCAGGCCCCTGGAGTGAGGTAGCTAACCCCAGCACCATCTGCCGAGCGCCCAGAGTGCTGGGCACAGGATGGCTGCAGAGCTGGGGTCGCGCTTGGGAGCTTGACCCAGTAAGCACAGAGACCCCTCTGATGTGACAGAAGGAGTGTCCTAGCGAGTGACTAGAGTCAAGGAGCCCACTAAGGGCTCAGGCAGGGCACTGAGGGGACAATGCATGTGAGTGATCAAGTCAAGGGAGGCTTCCTGGAGAGGGTGGTGGCAGGACAGGCTCTGACCGGGTGCGGGGAGCACTCAATGGATCCCACCACACGATGCAGGGTCGGGGAGGGGAGTGGAGCCTGCCTTTGTCAGCGGCAAGCATGGGAAGGCACAGCTACCCGGAAAAGTGGGTGGCACTGCGGGCTAGGGGGGACAGGGTAGGAGAGGACTTTTGGGACCGTTGAGCCTGGAGAATTCACCTCTGGAGAAAGGCAAGTTGGTCTGCTTCTGAGGGCTGGGGGCAGGTCCTGAGGCCCAGAAGGGGTACGTGGGGAGGAGTCCAGAGGGAGGGAGGACGTCCAGTCTTAGGGAGGGAGGAGGGGGGACGGTAGAGTCCAGCTGGGGCAGAAGACTGGTGAGCAGGGCCAGGGCCAAGATGAGAGTGAGGCCACTGAGGCCAGACTTAAGGAGGTGCCCCAAATCTCAGTATGGGAGGTGAACAACATTTTAATATTATTCTGATTTTTCCTTTACCCCACATGCCAATAGGCCCCAGCACTGCCACAGATCCTGTCTGTTAAAAAAGGTTTAAAATATTTTGTTCATCTTGGATTTTTTGCAGTAATTGAGAGTTTTAAAAAATGCTGCATTAAAATATTACTTACCTTGAGCACTGCAGTTGTTGGTGACACCCCCTCTCTACCCCCAGCCCTGCGAGGGAGGGCTGCCCGTGGCGACTGGGAGCCGCTAGCAGCCGCCCTGCCTCGGTCTAAACTAGCCCGTCTACTCGGTGGGACTTGGACAAGCCCCTGCCTCTCCTCACCCTCGTTTTTCCCACTGTGAAGAGCACAGGGCCTGGCGCCCCACAAGTCTTCAATAAAAGCCGGAGAGGAAACTGAGGCACAGAGAGGTCAAGTAACCTGTCGGTGGCAACACAGTGAAACCAGGGCTGGACGCCAGGTCCCTTCTGACTCTAAGTCCTTTGATGGAAGGGTGATGGCCTCAAGGGAGGGGGCACAATGATTGTGTGGGGGTGTTTGTTGAAGAAGGGGCAGTCCTCCCAGTGTGGGACCCACGCCGCTCTCTCCTAGGTGGGCTGAAATTCTGGAATCAGAGTGACACGGAGCCGCTGGGGAATGGCAGGGGTAACGGTTCTCCCGGGCATGGGCAGCCACTTCTCCTGGCACATTTATTCCTCCACCTCTCGGGGCCCCAGTCTTCTCATCTGCAAAAGGAACAGCCACATCAGCCCCAGGGAGAATTAAATGCCCTCGCAGATGTAAAAAGGCTTGACAAATGGGGAGGCACGGCTTGCAGGGACTGCTAATGAGCTGGGCAGGGACCAGGGCTGGGAGCAGCTCACTGCACCCAAGGCCGAGGCCGAGGCCGGGAGAGCCTGCAGCTCAGGCGCGAAGGTGGGAGGGAGGCAGGCAGGTGCACTAATGAGAATCTACGAGCCCCGGGGCTCAAGGTGTCAGGACACAGTCGGCCATGCTTGGGATCCCGTGTGGATGGAGGCAGCTTCTCTAGGCACGTCGTTTCTCTGGGGGCCTTCCTTCTCACTGGGGCCCCCAGCCGTGCGGGAGAAAATTCAGCTGTCCTGGGAACCTGGGCCCCTGCTCTTACCGGCCTCCTTTCCAGGCCCCTCCAAGAACAAGGCAGCTCCAGACCTCTCAGGCAGCGAGGACAGGGAGGGGAGTGGGGGGAAGGAGCCCGGAGACAGGGGCGAGTGTCTGGGAGAGGACACGGACGAGGGAAAGAGCAGGAAGGCAGAAGCCGCGGGCCACCCTGCTCATGGCAGTCTAACCGGGTCCCCCACCGCCCTGTGCCCACAGGCCCTTCTCTTCCTGGGGCTGAACCCCATCTCCGCCTCGCTCCAGGACCAGCAGTGTGAGGGCCTGTCCCTGGCCAGCAACATCTCCGGTGAGTACCCTTACTCAGCTCCTGCCAGAGTCCAGGTGACCACAGCCCGCCGCCTGCCCCCACCGGGGTCTCTGGGTGCTCACACAGGGCCGTGCCCTAAGGCAGGAAGAGCAGAGAAGTTTCCTCTCTGGGGTCCAAGCAGTTCCTCTCCCCACGGAGGGAACGCTGTGTTGAGCGGGATGCTGGCACTGTGGTGGGAAAGAGAGCTGCGACTAGGTGACAGCACCTTGCCACGGCACAGGAGGGGCATGGGCGAGCGTGCTGGGCAGCTCTTTTCCCTGCTTTGGGGCGGGCAACGGGGGAAGTCGCCCCAGCCCTTGCTGCTGTGAGGACCGGCAGAGCAGGGGCTGAGCTGTGACCCGGGCTTCGGGCTTCCGGAGGAGAAAGACTGCGTTTCGTGCCACAGCATGATAGTGCAGGGGGCCGACCCTGTGCTGGGCGCTGTGGGAGGTGTCTGAGATGCATTAACCCGGTTTTGTCCTTCAAGGTAGGTCTTGTAGCCCTCGTTTTACACACAGCAAAATGGAGCACAGAGGAAAACTAGTAAGTGCTGGAGCCAAGGTTTGAGCCCAGGTAGCCTGGCTTCTGGATTCATCGTCAACACCGTGCTCCACACCTGTGAACCCTCACCCGGCCCCTTCAATCAGGGTCCTGGGGATGCTGCCGCTGGCCAGGTGGGAGGGCCCCTGCCCCTGACGGTTTTAGGGAGACTCAGTCTTTGGTGATTTATTTTCCTCTTCTGGTCTCTCCTTGATTCAATCCAACTCATTAATTGAGCACCTACTCTGTGCCGGGCCCTATGCAAGGCACTCAGGGAGCAAAAAAGGGCTCACAGTCTGATCCTGCAAGGGCTCACAGTCAAGCCTGCAGACACACGTACTGTGAGGCAGAGAGTAAGGCGTATACCGGGGCAGGAACAGACCCAGGGTGCCAGCAGGGCGGCCAGGCCTCAGGTTCTGAAGCTGGGCCTGTGGGGAGAGGAGACTCCCACAGCTCAGACAGAGCAGCTGCCCTGGCCGGCTGTCTTCACTAGGAAGGGCCTGGGGTGGGGTGCGAATGCGCACTGGACTTGAGAAGGCTGAGGGGGCGCCCAGGCTCACAGTGGCGCTCAGTCTTGTCCTGGCTGGAGGTGGGGACACCGGTTGCCACAGGAATAAGCATGCCCCTGAGCCTCTCTTTGCTCAGCTGTAAAGTTAGGGGGGCAACACCTGCCTCAAGGGTCCATTACGATTAAATGCACTCAGTTGTATGGTGGTATTCCACAACCTGTAGATGCCACACCACTGCTGAGTATGATTTATTATTGTTGGTAACATCTGAAGGCTTTTGGAAGTGCTTATCATATATCTGGGCTGAGGAGAAGGCATTTGCCATGAATTGCTCACTGCAACGCAGGTGGCAGGGAAGTTAGATCAGGAGTGGTAGGAATCCAGGAAGGCTTTCTGAAGGAGGAGACTTCAAGGGGAGTCTCTGAAAGACTCTGAGTGTGGACTGGCAGAGAAGATTCAGTGCTCTGAGACAAAGCTGGAGTTGATTGAGGACGAGCACGCAGGTTTGACGTAAGAACAGGGAAGCGGTTAGGAGGGAGGAGCCGTAAGTCTGAAGAGGTATTGGGAGCCTGGAGCATCTGGCTGCAGAGCTGGCTAAGCGGGTCGTGGGGAACGGGAAGCTCCTGAGCAAGAGTCTGGAGTGCTAGCAGAGAGACTGGGAGGGAGGGCGCCCGCTCAGAGGCTGGGCCCGAGATGAAAGGCCCTGCCTCCAGCCTCCCATGCACTGGGGCCGGGTCAGGCTCCGTTACTTTGCCTGCTGTGCTCAGGAAGTGACATCCCTGAGCCCACGCAGGTCTCATGTGTCCTTGGAGGCAGCGGGCCATGATGAATGCCATTCATTCCCCAATCATCTGTACTCTGTGCCACTACCCCTAGCTTGGCCAAGCCTGCATGGCTCCATGGCACACAATCCATCACCCTCTGCAATGGCCTCGGATAATGCACTATTTGCCTTCCCATGCCAAGACCTACCCGGACCAATGGGCACTGGTAGACAGATGGTGAGAGTGGGGTGGAGGGACTGGGACAGATGGATGAGCGTCTGGCCGGGGCTGCTGTCACTGAGCCAGGGCCTTTGGGGTGGGGGGGTTCTCACATGCCAAGAACAGATAACCCTGGGTGGGTCCCCAGGGCCATCATATGGCAGATCACAGACTTGGCAACTCATAATATCATGTCCTGAATATGACAGTGTTAGAAAGTATAGAATTATTGACTGATGACATTAGAGACAAAAGGAATCAATCACACTGTTGACACGAACCCAGGGTCATCTGTTCCCATCCCCCGTCTCAAGGTCATGAATGATAGCAATGATTAACGATGGCTAATATTTATTTTGTGCCCCCGGAAGGGTACTCACCATTTTGAGTGCTCTAATCTCATTCAATCATCACAACAGTATAGTCAGAGAGTATTTTTATCCCCATTTTACAGAAGAGGAATCAAGGTCTCAGAGAGGTCGAATAACTTGCCCAAGTACATACAGTTAATAAGCAGTGACTCGAAGATTTGAAGCAAGTGGGCCCGACTTTAGACTTTCCCACCGTGTGACGTGGCTGCCCAGACAGCTGTGGTGCCAGGGCTCAGCTCAGTCAATCGTCCTGGGGTGCAGAGTCACCCCTGCAACTTCCCAGATCCATATTGGCTTTGCACATGGCCCCTAATTTTCCTCCAGGCCTACTATGTGCCTGGCACTGTGCTAGGTATTGGGAATATAAATATGAAGAGCCCACTAACCCACAGGACAGGAGGCCCACCCATTTGTCTTGATGAATCACACACCCTATAAAGGCATCTTTCTTCTCTGCCCAGACAAAGAGGAGGCAGCCGAACCACAGGGGGATGGAGCAAAGAACAGGACTCTGCCTGCCCTCTGCCACTCTCTCCAGGCCAGGTGACGCAGGCAGAGCCCCTGCCCATTCATCCCAGCAGCACCTTCCTCTGAATGGGCAAGCGTGTGTGTTTCAGGAGCTGCCCTTGGGCCACCTGACTGCTCCCCTTCTGGACAATCTTGGCTGTGTTCCTCTCCTGGTCTTAACCCAAACAGGGGGATGGGCTTCCCAGCCACAGGGCTGCTGCCAAGCGCCCACCTACTCTTGTGTGTTCAGAAACCCCTGCCGAGAGACCCAGCATAACTGGGGCAGGAGCCAGGTTCCAGTTTCCCTCAGACAGATCTGCTGAGCACATGTGGACCGGAGCCTGATGGGAAGGGAACTGTGTTACCTACCTGGGGGAAGCAGCCAGAGTCCAATCGTACACAAGCATTAACTAGGTCACCTTCAAAGAGTTCTTATCTGTTCAGTAAAGCAGCACTCCCACCACGATCCTGACTCAGCAAGAGTTTTTTTCAGAGGCAGGTGGGAGCCACCTATGCTGCTCCTCCTCTTCCCCCATTTGCAAGTGTTTGGTATAGCCTGACCCCCTGCTGCCAGGAGCAATGAGAGTGTGGGTCCCAGGCATCTGCTCTGTGCACAGGTGGGGAAGGAGGAAGATTCAGGACCAGTGTTACATTAGTCCAATTGACTCCAGCCTGCCCAGGACAGACCATGAAGGTCTCTAGCTGTCCCAGGAATGAGGGGATGAGCCATCAAGTGAGAGCTGTATCAACACTTTAGACACACCAAGCACACACCTGCCTCAGGGCCTTTGTGCTTGCTGTTCCCACTGCCTAGAACACTTTTCCCTATTCCCCCGTATGCACATGGCTCCCTCCCTCACTTCCTTTAGGTTTCTCCTTAAGTGTGACTATGTCAAGCACCACTATTTTAAATAGCCCTTTGGTCAGCCTATCTCCTCATTCTGCTTTTTTTTTCTCCATAGCATTTCTCACTGCTCAACAGATTTGACTGTCTGTCTGTCTGTTTACTGCCCCCTCATCTCACGGAGGGTAGGGCATTTGTTTTATTTATTTATTTTTAAAAATTTCCAACTTTTTAAAATTAATTTATTTATTTTTAGAGAGGGAAGGAAGGGAGAAAGAGAGAGAGAGAGAGAGAGAAACATCAATGTGCGGTTGTTGGGGGCCGTGGCCTGCAACCCAGGCATGTACCCTGACTGGGAATCGAACCTGCGATGCTTTGGTTCGCAGCCCGCGCTCAATCCACCGAGCTACGCCAGCCAGGTGCATTTATTTTATTTATTACTGTATCCCAAGCACCTAGAAAATTTATCAGGTGGTCAGTAAAAACTTATACTGAGCTAAGAGCGGTCATTAGCGTTCTTTCCGTCTATAATTTAGCTGACCAGGAGGGGCGCTGTGGAACAAGAAGCTGTGTGGTGGAGTTAGCGCCTAACAAGGGCTAGTAAATTGGCTTAGCTATTTGCAAGGCTGGCTTACTCCCATCCAAACTGCTCCTCACCCAGATCTATGATATCCGGGTGGGAGAATACCCGACAGTAGTGCAGAAGGGGTTGGACATTTGTGATAGTGGGACCTGAAAGGGACATTGGCGCAAGAATCAGAGTCCAACAGCCTAGACTTCGAGGTCCTTATAGCCCCAAGATGAGTGACACGAAGACTTCCCTTCCTGCCTCCTCCCCTTTCCAGCTGCGAGATCCACTCCCTCCCCGTTTCCGGAACCTATGGTTTTTTTAAAAATCTCTTCCTCCTGGTTTTCTCTCTGCTTCTCTCTGCTTTAATCTCAGCCTTTTGTCCTCCTTTATTTCCTCCCTCTCCTCCTCTCTCCTTGCCCCCTTGTCTCCCCCACCCCTTCTCTTGGTTGACTGGATTGAATTGAGTGGCATGAGTCCCACAACGTAAAGCGCCCTTCACACCGCCTGGTGTAGTGTTCAACAAATTTTGGTCCCCTCTCCCCCACTCCCCAAATCCTATACCCTCTTCCAGAGGACCAGTCTGCAGGATCCCAGGGCCCGGCGCCTGCACCGCGGTGGGCTGCAGTCCTGTGCGGGAGCAGCGACCGCCACAAAAAGGAGCACGTGGCGGGGGCGCAGCCTACGAGTCCAGTCGGGCGGAGAGGTCCCGTGGGCAGTGCCCACTTGCCCGGAACACCACCTCTGAGGCCCCGACCCTGCTGCCTCACCCCTTCCGTACACCTCTGAGTGCCTGCCCCTTTCCCTTCACCCTCCCCTTACTCTTCGTTTCCCTCCAAGTCTCTACGGGCTCCCTAAAACTGCACCACACAGCCAAACCCCTGCTGAACTCCTTGGCCAGTATTTTCGAGGGGCCGTCGCTCCTGATTGATGCTTGTACCTTTGGCCACGCTGGGAAAGGCCCCACCCCTCCCTTGGCCCCGCCCACCTAGCCCCAGCCCCTGCTGCTCACGCCCCGGCCTGTTACTCCTCAGATAGGGGGTACTTCGTCTCATGACCCCCTTCATTTGCTTTTAGTCTTCGATCACGTAGCCTCTCCATCCCTTTATTCTCATCTCTCCCAGACTTCCATTCCCTCCGGGATTTTCTGGTCTCTTAATGTAAAGGTCACTTCTCAGGAGTGTTTCCCCAGGCCTCCTCCGCGCAGCTGCTGGGGCTGGGAGTGGTGCTGGGGGGTATGGCAGGAGGGAGGGAAAGAAACAGAGCGACATTTAGGAACCCAGGGTGCAGAGATGGGTGCAACCAAATGCCGTGAGGGCCCGTTGCCCAGGTGGGGACCCGCCACGGTGCAGTGGGAAGAGCCCTGGGCAGGCTCCGAACACACCAGCATTCAAAACCACTTCTGCCTATTAGTGCCTCTGTGGCTTTGGATAGGCAGCGTGACTGCTCTGGCCTCGGTCTCCTTGTCTGTGGAACAGAATTAGCACCCAGCCTTGGCAGGCGGTGCCGCGGACTCCTGATCCATACCGTTAGGGGCAAATATCGCTACTCTGCTCATCCCCATCTCCAAACTCAGACCAGCTGTGGGCGGTGTTAGGCCTCAGGGCATTGGCTGGTGCCTGGTGCTCGAGGCCAAGAGACCCATCTGCTCAGTGGCCGGTGCCTGCCTTGGCTCCAGCCTGGTCCTGGCTGTGGCTGGTGCCCAGTCTTGCCCTGCCCTCTGTTCTTTGTGGAAGGGACTCTGGGGAACTGTCCAAGGCAGGAAAGAGAGGGAGAAGGAAGAAAGGGAAGGCCAGTGCTGCCCTGACTGAGAGGGTGTGCTAGGCAAGTTCCAGGTGCTGCTGCCCAAGACATTCCGTCAGTCTTCCTAGCACCTCGCTCAGGAGACGCCGGGAATGAGCGAGTGACTAAACGGACAACCGACCGAGGGAGGTACAATGATGTCATTGAGTCAGAGGCGTATGTAGGCTGCCTGGCATGTGCCCATCACACTGTCAGCCCTCAACAGATGTTGCTCCCTGCCCCACGATCCCTTTGACTGTTCCCCTCCCTTTGCTGGAACAAAATGTGGTGTAATAGAGAGAGCACTGGATTCAGAGCCAAAAACACAAGGCTCTGTATCTTGGTTCTTTCATTCATCGACAAGTGACCTTGGGCAAGTCACTTACTTCCTGGGGCCTCAGTTTCCTCATCTGTAGAAAGGGAATAACTACATGGCAAGGTGGATGAGGATCAAAGGAAATATATGAAGAAAGTTTTGAAAAAGCAGAATATGGTAATATTACCTCTCCCTTCCCATGGCCGTATGCCTCCAGCTACCCACTCTGGGCTCAGAGCCATTGGCATGACCCCTTGAGGGCTTAAAATCTTAACCTGTTTTCCTCACTCCCCGAGCCCCTCCTCCACTGGTGAAGCAGTTCACGGATGCTGCAGTGTGGCACAGTGCCAGGGCCTGGCCCACCGTCTGCTCGAGCCACTGAGCCCCAGTCCAGATTTCTTTCTCTTCCAGTTAAACGACTTGGTGTCAAGGCCTCTGCCCCTCGAGCCCTGATTTGCGGGAACACCCCAGGAGTAGCTTTGATTAGAAAGGAAAACCAGCATTTGGTACAAGTGCTGCTGCTCAGCACTGCCCTGCATCCAGCAGGGAAAGGCCGCCAGTCTAACCCCGCGCTGTTTCCTGAGAGACTGGGGACAGGCTGAGCTGGGGAGGAGATGGCAGGTGGGCCCCAGCCGGGGCTTGGCGGCTGCTGGTGCCCAGACCTAAAGAGGCTGCCCCCGCACCGGTTCCTGGCTCTGCCTGGCTTGTCTGTGTGTGCTTGTGCCATCCCAGGTCATTAACTCCCTCTCGTCGTACTGGGCACCCTGGGTCTTACTAGGACCACTGTGCCGGCCACATGCAGGAAAGGGGCATCGAAGGGCAGAGAAGGCAGGGGACGTTTCAGGAGGGGTGCCAGGACTGTCCTCGGCCCAACCCCCACCCATTGGAGACCAAAAGCTCCCCTCTCTCCAGAAGTATTACTGTGGCTTCAACTCTGTCCTAACACACACACACTCCACTCCAAAAAAAGCTCTTTAATTACGGGCAAATATTTGGAAGGGGAATTTGATATTCACTTTCTAATTCAGCTGTTTGCATCCTTTTTAAAGTCACTACCCCTTGGAGAATCTAATGAAAGCCAAGGTTCCTTTCACAAGTAAAATGCATGTATAGACCAAATTTTCAAAGTAACCCTTTTAGCAGACACACTTCTTACGTATGGGGTGGAATGCTTCCTGTAACAGTCGGTGTAGTTACATGCCATATACAGAGGGCTAGTGTTCGTGGTGGGAAGTTTTTTCATAGTAAGTGTACTAGTTGATCTTTAATATCAGGGTCTCTATCAATCCTGAAAACTTCCATGAACAGAGATTAAGAATTTCTGATCAGATCCAGTCACTTCATTTTATTATAAAGACACTGAGGCCCAGAGAGGGCAAGACTTGCCTGTCGTCACACAGCAGATTAGTAATACAGCCAGGGTTCCAGAGTCCTGGTTTAGTGTCCTCCCTGCTCCCCTGGATGGCGTCTCCCTCCCTTTTCTCCCCACGGCCCCCTTCTCGGTCAGCCCTCTTCCGGGGCACAGCCCAGACCAGAGCACAAACCGTGTGTGTTCAGTAAACGTGGTCATCAGGCCGGCCAGAAGGTGGGCCAGCTTCACTCAGCTGATTCCGCCTGCAGCGCTGGAGCAGATGTGTTTTGGTTCCAGAGATGTGCGAGCAGGGCTGGGTCAGGGGTGGGCTGGGTCTGTTCCTCGCTGCGAAGTCTGAGAGAGAGCTCCAGTCTGCCCCAAAGTGATGGCTGAGAGAAATGTCCTCAGGCTACAGAGCAGGGGACCTGAAGCATGTCCAGCCTTCCTCTAAAGGCCAGCCAGGACCTCAGCTTTTAAGACCACCTCCTGCCACCTCTGTCCCTCCTCTGCTCTGGAGCCCACTCCGGCTCCCTTGTGCCTGAGCATCAGACTCAGATTCCTTCCGTCCTCTGCATAGGACGAGCTATCTCTGTCTGCAGTAGGGTATCACTCCTGTCCTGCCCCAGCTGGTGTGTAGGGGCCTCTGGGCAGGTGGGTAGGACACAGGAAAGGGGGTCTTCCTCTGCCTCACCAGCTGTCTCTGCCCACAGGACTGCAGTGCAATGCATCCGTGGACCTCATTGGCACCTGCTGGCCCCAGAGCCCCGCAGGGCAGCTGGTGGTTCGGCCCTGCCCAGCCTATTTTTACGGCGTCCGATACAACACCACAAGTAAGGGGGCGTGTGGCGGGCGGACTTGTTGGAGGTGGGTTAAATAATAGTGACAATAACGATAATAACAATACCTCTCGTGGATACAGTCACCAAAGGCCAGCTCTGCTCTGCCAGGCACCCTGCGCTCACACTGCTGATTCTCGCAGTACTCCTGGAAGACACTGTGTATAACTCTATAGTGCTCGTTACATAAATAAAGCTTCTGAGCCTCAGAGAGGTTAGGGATCTTGCCCAAGGGCACCAGGTGGTACAAGGTGAAGCTGGACTTGCATCCAGTCTGGCTGACACTTTCTTCTGCGGTTGACAAACTGGGTCGGTTGACTTGAACTCCAACAGCCCCGTGAGGCAGGGCAGGAATCATCAGGGCCCTCCAGCCAGGAGGTGGCAGACTCAGAGCTCTTGATCTCCCTCCAGGGGGCTAGGCCTTGCACGCAGGCCCACAGGTGGGGTGGGGGTGGGGGTGGGGGAGGACTAACCCTGTGACCAGATACTTGATCCCTCTGTAAACACCTGGCTCCCAGGAGGCTGTGAGCCTCCACCTCCAGGCTTTACAGCTCCTTGCAATGTCACCTGTCACCCTCCCCTGTCAACGGCTCACAGCCCCTGCTTATCCAGACAGCAACAGCTGCAGGCCAGAACCCCAGGGGAGGGTGGGGACCCCTGGTGGAGCCTTGGGGTCTGGTGGGCCTGAGCTCAGGGCCCCAGGTGACCACAGACAGCAGAGGGTTTACTCTCAGACGTTGCGACCTTCAGCACATGTTGCTGTTTCGAGGCCCCCACCCCTCTCTGAGGGTGGAAAGGGCCAGATGACAGGCTTCTAAGACTTCATTTAGCTCAAAGTGCCCAAGTTCCTTCCCCTGCCCCTTTCTCCTTTATCAGCCCATCAAAGGGGATTAGAGTTGGGGACTGCAGTCAAGAGAGTTGGAGGGCCCTGGGGAGACACTGGGACTGGACAGGAGGCTGGAGTAGCCAGACCAGGCAGTCTGGTGCACCTGGAACCCACAGAAGGAGAAGAAAGGCTGGAAGGCATGTGGGGAGGACGTGCAGGCAGGAGGAAGTGCAGGAGGACGTAGGGGCCAACCTCTCATTTAGTAGGGCCCACTTTACCGTTAGGAAATGGGGGCAGAGCCTGTCAACTGCCCCAGGCCACAAAGCTTGGAAGCAGGGCCAAACCTGGAGTCAGAGCCCCCCTGCCACGCCCCCTGCAGGAAGGAAGCAGCCCTGGGGCTGGTGCATAATGTCGGGGGAGGGGGGTGTTTGAAGGAGGCCCCTCTCCCTCTGAGGTTCCAGGTCCTGTTCCTTCACCTCCAAAGTGACTCTCAGGTCTAGCCCCACCTGCTCTCCATCCCCAACACCACCGTCTCTACCCGAGGTGCCTGATCTGGTACCTTGTGTGGCATGGAGCCCCCCTGCCACACCCTTGCCTGCAGTGATCCCTCCCGTGGCTCCCCACCGCCTCCACAGCCAAGTGTGCACTTCCGAGTGGGGTTTCCCGGCTCCCAGGGGCTGCAGCCCACCTAGTGGCAGCCAGCTCCAGCCACTCCCCGTGAGCTTCCTCCACGCGAGCTTCCTCCACGCTCATCTCTCCGGGTGACTTGACACTCCCCAAAGTAAACGTTTCCAGAGGGTAGTGCCTGGGGTGCGCCACTCGGTTTGCCAGGCCTGACCCACGTGGAGGCCGGGTGTCCCGGGTTCTGGCCTCGGCTCTGTCTGTGACTGGCTAAGGAACCCTCGGCACCGGCTCTCCCTGGGCCTCGATGGCGCCACCTGCAGCGTGGGTGCGAGGTTTGGGTGGGGTGCTGCTCTTCGGCTTCCTCTCTCTTCCCTCTGTGATCCCAGCAGGGGAGCTGGGGGTGACGGTCCCTAGATGTGGGGGCAGGCGGGCAGATCCCCCTTTCCAGGCACTCCAGTGCCAGAACAGTGAGGAACACGCCCGTGCAGTAAGTAGTGAGTGAGAGCCCAGAGTGGCACCTAGTCATTAAGCACCAATTAATTCATTTACTGCTGAGGTGCTGCCAGGACTTCCAGGCCTTCTCCCTAATGCCCTCCTTCCGGCTGCATCTGATCTTCAAAGGGACGGGACGCATTTCCAAAAATATCCACTTTCCCATGATTCTTCAGGAAGACTGCTCAGCGCAGCAATCAAAGACAAGGAGGTCGAATCCTCCCTGGCAACGACTCCCTGCTTGTTAGGCCTGTCTTCTCCCAGGGTTGCCTCCTGCCTCCCCAGCAAAGCCTGCTTCCTCTGGATGACCTGCCTTGGCAGAGACTCCGGCTCCTGGCTCCACATTGAGGGCGGGGGGAGCAGGGGGGCTTGGGCCAAAGCAGTGACTCTTGTCATCCCCACCAGTACCCCCTTTGATAGGGACAAGTGACGTGTTCCGAGTAATAACAGTTACAGCTAACACCACATGCCGGGTAGAGCTCCAAGCCCTCCGCACGTGTTAACTAAAGATGCTCAGCTCGACCACTAGAGGGCAGCGTCTTGCAGAGAAGGAGGCTGAGTGGTTGCGTGACTTGCCCAAGATCACACGGCTGGTAAGGGATGGTGTCTGATTCCGAACCCAGGCCATCTGCGTAGAGAACAGCCCTCTTGGCACTGCCTCACGCCACCTCTCGTGAGGCGAGAACCACTGCCCCCCAAGGCCCTTTCTTTGCGGACATTCCGGAGCAGCCGGTGGTCCCAGGCACTTCCGGTCCGTGACAGAGACCCTGTATCTCTGGCTCCCGCAGGCCTCCCTGAGAACCCTGTTACTGAGCCCTCCACCCTCTGGCTGCTTATCCCTCATTTAGCAATTAGGAGAGAATCAGCAGCGTCTCAGCCAACTCTGCCCAAGGGCTCAACTCTGCTGAGACACAGGTCTATAGGCAGGGAGGCTGAGCAGAGCTTTAAAAATCCATTTAGCCCCATTTCCCCTGGCAGGTACCCGGGGGCTGCGTGAGCAGCCTCTCAGGAGAGGAGCTGGGGAGCAGGGTGAGAGAGGAGGCCTCCCAGCCTCGCAGCCCTGGAGGCCAGGCCGTGTCCCCCCCCACCGCCCACGCCATCATCTCCCTCTTATCCTGATGCTGCCATGGAGAGGCAGCTCCCAGGGTGATTCCTAGGGGATCATCTGGCCCAGCCCTCCCTGGAACACAGGAGGCCAGCACCCGGGTCTCTCGCAGCTCAGCAGCACGGAGCCGGCCCTGGGCCCTGCCCCTGTCTCCCACCCACTGTCCTGCCCCTGCCCGGCCCCAGGCTCAGGGACTGGGATCAGGCAGTGTCCTCAGCCCTTCTCCTGCCCCCTGTGACGTGAGGGTCAGTGGGAGCCACGGAAAGGCCCGCAGCTCTGGGAAATGGCTCAGAACTCAATTCTCTCTTCCAGCTTGTTCTGCCTGGAGTCGGGGCCAGAATTAACTTAAGGAAATATCTTTAGAGCCACCGATGCTGGAGGGGGTTGGGGGGGCAGGACAACATTGACCAGCAAGGGAGAAAAGACCAATGTTTGGATCTTCCTCGGTCCTTTCCCTACTGGGTCTCAGAGCCCTGGTGGCCCATCACCCAGCTGTGGTCACCCCAGAGCCCTGAAGCCAGCCTCACACCACAGGGCTCCTCCCCATCTCCTCAGAAAGAGGCAGGTTCTGGGCTGCAGTCCAGCCGACGGCTGCACAGACCCCCGCCGCTCCTTGGGCCATGCGCCTGGCTGTGAGCTATAGCAGGTCCTGGGAATGAGATCCGCGCTGTGTGAGCCCCGCCCCCTGGGATGCGCCCCAGCACACTCCTGCTACCTGTCATCTTCTGTCCCAAGACCCGAGCTGCTCTGGGGAAGTGCCACCCCGGGGACCTTCCCATGTAACACCTGCCCTGTGAGCCTCACCCCATGTGGAGCACTGCCACGGGAGGACCCCCCACCCCCCACAGGAAACCTCACCACCTATAGCCACCGTGAGAAACCCTGTCATCTCACTGCCACTCGAGCTGTCCCCACACTCCCTTCCGCCATGTCATGCCCATCCTCAGGAGCGAGAACTGACTCATCAGGACTCACCATTCTTTTTTGCTGTCACATGAGACCCCCAAATGGGAGAGGTCTCAGAAGGGCACGCGCCACATACAGGCTTGCAAGGAAGCAGCTCAGAGAGCTGGTCAGGACTGCCCAAGGGCCAGTCTCATGGGCGTGGGCATGCCGGCAGGAGTGGGCAGAGTCACGGCCCCACGGTCAGGCACTGGATCGACGCTGCCCCCTGTTGGGACTGGTAGGCAGAAAGAGGAGGGAAGACGGGGTGGCAGGGAAGCCCCTCTGCCCAGCTGCACCCAGCAATCAGGCCCCTGTGCTGATTGGACAGATGAGTGGACAGATGCCTAAGCTGCTGTTTGCTCAAGGGACCACAGGGCACTTTGCCTCTCTCTCCTTTTTGCAGACAACGGCTACCGGGAGTGCCTGGCCAACGGCAGCTGGGCGGCCCGCGTGAACTACTCCGAGTGCCAGGAGATCCTCAGTGAGGAGGTGAGGCTGCCCGCTCGGAGGGGTGCGTCAGGGCCCCCAGCTCGAGTCCGTGCCTGCTGCATGGCCGATGGCCAGTCAGGGTCCCGGAGCCAGAGGCTGATGTCAAGGCCGTGGGAGCCAGAGCTTACGTCACCACGAGGGAGGGAGTGCCAAGCGGGCGGTGGGCAGGCTGACGGCCGAGAGCTGGGTCCTCGCCCCTTCCTCCTCCCGTCCCCTCCTCCCTTCCACCCGCGCCCCCTGGGACAGATTCTCATCCATTTGCCACTTCACCCATCGGAGCCACACATCCAGGTCCAGACGAGACTAGAGCGGGACTAGGGTGGGATGGAGCGGTGCAGTTTGAAAAGCCCCTTCAGAGAACATCGCACATAGTTGGCTGTGTTTGAGGAGGCACTGCTCACACGCAGCTCAGAATTCCACGGTGCAGACGGCACGCAGAGGGCGTCTCCCTCTCAGCCCAGCCGCGGGGCCGCCTCCCCGGGCAGCGCTCCTGCCGCCTTCTTAAGTGGTCTTCTAGAGGCCTTCTCTGCACGGCCGAGTAATTAGGTGCCTGTATTCTTTTATGTTTTTAGCGAAACGTTGCACATTACACACCCCGTTGGACGCCTTGCCTTTTCCATATAATTATCCATCTTGGCGATTGTTCTGTATCAGTACATAAAGAGCAGCTTCCTTCTTTTCCTCACATTTGCATAATATCATGCATGTCATGCAGGTGGACCGTAATTTATTTACCCAGTTTTTAATTCTCAGTCTTTGGTTATTACCAACAGTGATGCAATGAATAATCTTTTAATGTTGACATTTGGCAGATGCCCAGGTGATTCCACATTCCGGGTGTTGCTGCCCTGGCCCCCCGGCCCCTCCCCTACATCTCCCCCCACCCTTCAGTGGGTGCTGAGGCAGGTGGGGCAGCAGGGAGGGCGCCCCCAGCTGCCGAAGAATGTCTCCCGGTGTGCAGAAGTGAGGGGGGCTGGCCCAGGCGGCCCGGGGGGGTGCCTGTCCAAAGGGGTCTAAACTGGATGGGGCCTCAGAGACCCTCCTTCCCATCCTGACCTGCCTGGGAATGAGAGTCGCCTGGATTCATAGACGGGTCCCAGCGCTACACCCAACACCCAACACCCAGGAAAGGAAACCCTCCAAGGAAGACGGGGGACTCCGCCCCTGGGGGAGGCGTGAATCTGATGGGGAAGGAATGAGAAACTCTGACCTAAGGCAACCTGTTCAGCTTATAAGTGGGGAGACAGAGGCCCAGACGGGGGAGGGGCTCACACAAGGTTACGGGCAGGGTGAGTCGGGGCCTGCAACCTGGGGCTTTGGAGGCCAGGCTCTCCTGTGCCTGCCCCCAGTGCTCAGTGTGAGGCTGAGGCCAGGCTGGTGGTGGGAGAACAGCTTTCCCCACTCAGCTAGTGCCCCCCTCCCCCTGAGCGCTCGTCTCAGATCACACAGTCCAGACCGAGTGGTCCGCCCTAGGCTGGGGTTGGTGGTGCGGCTCCCTGACAACCTGACCTGAGTAGAGACAGCCCCCAGGTTGCTAAGCACGCACACCTGGAAAGTCCTGGGGCTGGGGAGGAGGGTGCCCCCGGGACGGGGGCAGGGAGGCAGGTGGGGTTCCAGGTGAGGAGACGTAGTTGAGCCAGAGGAGATGGGCTTGGTTAGGGGTGGGAGGGCAAGCAGCCCAATCACTGGGGCGGGGACTCCTTACCTGGAACACGACAGAGGTGGGGAGGATGGGGAGCGGGGCTCATGCTCAGGAAGGCAGGTCGGTGCTGTTGGCAACTCTTGGGACCGCAGGTGGTGCCCAGAGAGGGTGGTATGGGGGCCACACGGCTAAGGCGAGAAGTCTTCAGCCCCTCCCCACCCCCATCACACCCACCTGGTGCTCTGGACGTATCTCCAGGCCACAGTAACAGTCCCCTTCGAGGACATTGAGGACATCGGCAAAGGGGGAGAGGCCGGCTGCTCCCAGCCTCCCTGCCTGCAGTGGGGCCTCCTGAATGACCCCGGAAGTTCACGGTCCACCCAGACCTCTCCTGCTCTAATTTAAGCCCCTTCCTTTTAGTCGGCTGATGGGGGACACTCAGCAGCCCCTCTTCCCCCAACGCCCTCCAGAGACTCAGGGGCCCAACTCAGCTCCCTCAGCCTTCTCCTCTCCCCGTCCTGTCGCTCCCCCTGGGACTGGGGTCTCTCCCTCCCTCCGCCAGCCCAGCGGGGTTTGGTTGAGGAGGATTAGGGAGCCAGCGGGGTTTGGTTGAGGAGGAGCATTAGGGCGCTCCAGCCTCTCACCAGCCCCCTCTTCAGCGTTCTAACGGGAACTGCACAGGCTTTGGAGGCACAGGCTTTGGAGGCGCATGGTTTGGGGCTTGGATTCTGGTTCCAACACTTGTGCTGCGTGACCCTGGCAGGTCCCGGCTTCCGGGTCTGTCTGTAAAAGGGCAGGAAGTCACACAGTCTCTGCCTCCTGGCAGAGGGGGGCAGTACCTACCTGTGTCTCGGCCTGTGGAGGTACCATTCCTGTCATCTCACTGGGAGTCGTGGGAGGTTACAGCATGCACCCAGGGGGAGGGGTCATTGATGAGGAGACCACAGGTGACACGGCCACCTTTCCTCTGGTTACCGACTCGGTGGGGGCTGCCACTCACACACACTCCCACCCAGCCTGCCCTTCCTGGCTCTGTCTCCCACCCTTTTCCCAGCAGCCTCCCCCGGTCCTGTTGCCCAGCACTCTGGGTGATCAATTAATTTAATTTGTGAAAATGCCATCCCCTCTGCCAGCCCCCAGCCTTGCCAGGCCGCTCCCCATTCCCACGACTCCCTGGTCTCTGGGAGCTACTGCGAAGAGTAGTCTCCAATTAACCAAGCACCCCGGTTTGGATCCTCAGCCCTGGGCCCTGGCTAAACCCTAATTAAGCACCAGAGCCCAGGGGGATTGCAGATAATGGATTGGCAGGCCAGCAGCCTGTGAAATGGGACTTGTGAGGGCACCCAAAGGCCAGGCTGCGGGGGAGACCTGCCCACGGCCATCACCCCCAGGGGACAAGCCCGCCCCCACCGCCTCCGTGGGGGAGCTCCCCAGAGGGCACTGACCCCAGCACCAGGCTGCATTGGCCCCAGCTCCCCCAACAGCAGAGCCCCCACACTGTCTCCTCCCACTGCAGGCACACCCCCACCGCCCCAGACTCCCCCACCTTCCGTGACACTTGCGCACACCCTGCTCCCTCCCCCACACCCTGCTGAGCCCAGGGAGCCCAGGCCTCTGCACAGCCTGGGAGGGCTCACCTCGCCTCGGGAAGAGGTTAGTGAGACTCTGGGGGTGCAGGGTGACAGGCTGGGATTCACTGCTCACAGGGCAGGTGTTTGGACCAGAACTTCTGAAATGCTTAGGGCTCATCTGGGCTTCTTGCTAAAATGAACATTCCTGACTCAATGGACCTGGGGCGGGCTTAAGACTGCACACTTCTTAAGGCTCCTGCAGTCTCCTAGGTGATGCAGGCGCTTCCTAGTCTGGAGATCACACTCAGAGGAGCCAGGGGCCAGGTGAGACAGAAGCTCCTCCAGATGCCCAGGTGGAGAGGAAGGGCCACAGAGGGCTGGGAGTGACCGGGGCTGGAAGGCCCCGGGCTGGGGATCTTGGCGGGGCAGCAAGGACCAGGCAGTGGGGGCTGGGCCGGGAGCACTCCTTGCACAATCCTGAAAAGGCTTCAGAGCAGCAAGCCTGACAGTGCTGCCACTCGGGACAGGGCGCAGTGTGCAGAGAGTCTGGTCACAGTTGGCTGGACACCACTTACTGGGGTCCGGTCACTGAGGGTGCGATGGAGTGGTCTCCACCCAGTGCCCCCCTGCTCCACCCTCCTCGGGATGCCCGAGGTGTCCATACTGGACAGGGACAGAGTGCTGGTCAGGTCCCCAGGCATCGGTTGTGCCCATTTGTTTTTCGAGCATTTCAGCGGCTCCTGTGGTTTATGGTGGCTTTCTCCCAGGACGTCACTGGCTGGCTCATGGGTGTCATCAAGGTCTCTCAGAGTGTCACTGGGTGTATGTTAGGATGTTGCTGGCTGTTGTCTCGGTGTCATTGACCACCTCTCAGGATGTTGCTGCCTGTCCCGAAGGGTATCTCTGGCCATCTCTTGAGTATGGGTGGCTGTCTCTCCTGGTGATGCTGGTCGTCTCTTGAGGTAACACTGCCATCTGTCCAGCAGTCTTCTCGGGCTCTCTGCACTGTGACCCCCGGCGCCCCCTCCCAGCTGGCTCGCTTCTTCTCTGATCGCATCAGACCGATGTGGCAGCTGGGGGACAGCCCAGGCCTCCGACCCGAGGAACCACACAGAGGCCGCCCTGGAATGGTCCGTCCCAGTTCTCCCCTTTCAGCCTCAGTGGAGAAAACCCCTCGTGAGCCCCCACCCTCTGCAGAAGCCCAGGACCGAGAGAGAGAGAGAGAGAGAGAGAGAGAGAGAGAGAGAGAGAGAGAGAGAGATATTTTCCGTCCCTGCTTGTCCCTCAGGAAATGCATGGCGGGGGGGGGGGGCGGGGATGGGGGGGGTAGGAGGGTCTTTAAGACCAAGCAATACTGGACTCCGCTTGCTGGCTGAGTGGCTTGAGCCGATTATGCAGCCTCTTCAGCTGGAAAAACAGGGACAGAAGGACAGTCTCAGAGGTGATAAAGAAAAGCAGTGACATCTGTAAAGCTCCTGGCTCTGTGCCCAGCATACAGCAGGTGCTTAATACATGACTCATCTCACCCCAAACCAAACCACCCTGGCACCGCCTGCTGTGGGGGTCGGGTGCGGGGGACAGCTGACAGCAGGTAGGGTGCAGGGCCCCCTGCGAGCCGGGCTCATCTCGCCCACCTGGGCCTGCGAACGGAGCAGTTCTCACGCTGTTCCGGGCTCCCGGGGTTGTCATCGCCCGGGGGCTTCACAGTGTGGGCTTGCAGAAAATTTAATAAAAGGTAACTAAGCACCAGCTCCCATCAGGCTGGATGTGTTGCTGGAGTCTCCGGATTTGGTGTCAGCTGCCAGGTGCTCAGAGACACCCCCTCCCCCGTGAGTGAGCACGGCCCCCTCCCTCGCTGTCTCTCTCCATTTACACCTCGATGGGTCTCAGCCCCTAGGAGCCTGAGTCGCTAATGTATTTCCTGCCGTGTTCCTGAAAGCCTCTGCCAGGAACGCCAGCCCCTAGAGCAGAACCTCTGAGGTCCCTCTGGGGCTCTGGACCCTGTCAGAGGTTCTGCAGTGAGGACGCCCCCTCAGGAGGGGCAGGGGTGGCTCCTGTGCCTGCTGGGTGTCCTCCTGCAGCGGCACATCCCTTGGGGAGTGGGCTTGGTTCTCACTTTTCTCATTGGGAGGATGGACGGGGCCTCACTTGATGGGCCATCAATATAGGAAACGAATTAAGTAAGAACACTAGGGACTTTGTTGTAGCCCTGAGGCAGGGTCCTCTTCACTTCAAGCAGACCCCCTGAGCCGGGGCAAGCCCTAGAAAGTGAATGGTAGAACCTGAGAGCGTTTTCGTGATATCTCACTATTCTGGGGGTGCTGATCCCCGGCAGCTCTCCCGCCTTGCTGACAGCGGCAGGCTTCAGCTACGGCAGGAGGGATTCGGCGGTGATGCAGAAGCTGGTGGCTCTGCCCAGAAATGGGGGTTGGAAGGGACCTCTGGAGGGTCTTGGAGGGTGGCGTCTGCACCCACCAGAGCCTGAGTGTTTGAACTGAAGGGACACGGGAGTGTGAGAGCACACCTGTGAGCCGTGCCCACACGGTTGTGCGTGCAGAACGGGGAACGTGGTGTGATGTGGAGTCAAGTTCACTGACGTCTGTCCCACGGCACGGAGCCGTGGACAGAGCATGGGATTCAGGGACAGGTGGACAGTGGGACACAGTCTCAAACCACACAGCGCTGCTCCAGCGCAGCGCGTGACACCTGGGGTAACTCGGGGAGGGGGTAACTGTTGCTAGTGTTGCCCACTCCGTCCCGGCCACCCACAGGGGCTTCCACAGACACGCAGCAGGTGCAGGGGTGGGGCTGTTCGGGAACCTCACCTCTGCCCCTCTCTCTGGCTGCAGAAGAAGAGCAAGGTGCACTACCATGTCGCTGTCATCATCAACTACCTGGGCCACTGCGTCTCCCTGGTGGCCCTCCTGGTGGCCTTTGTCCTCTTTCTGAGGCTCAGGTGAGAAGTCCCCAGCTCTGGGCCTGGGCCTGGAGTCAGAGGCAGGGGGCCGCTGGGGAGGGGGTCCTGCCCCCTCACCTCAGTGGAAGGAGGTGACAGATATAAAGTCCCAGGTCTCTGGGAACCTCAGGCAGAATCACTTCTGTCCCCCTGCATGTAACTGCTGGGGGTGGGCAGGGAGGATGGGGGACAGCCAAAGCATCAGGGCTGAAAGCTGGGGGGAGGCCTCCTGCTGGAGGTCTTGTGCTTTCTGGCCATCAAACCCGGCATCACAGGGAAGGTAGGAGGGCCCACAGGGGAAGGGGCAGCCCTGGTCCTGGAGCATTGGCCGTGGCAGCTTCTGCCCCAGAGCTGAGGTCTGGGTGGGCCTCAGTGGGGAAGGGTCCTGTGTAACCAAGCCGCTCAGCCTCACTCTGAGGCTCAATCTTCTCATCTACACACTGGGCTGGAGTGGTGCTGGTGGCCCGCCCCTCATCCTCTCTCCCCGCCCCTTGCTCCCATCACTCACCCGCCCCTGCTGTCCCCAGAAGCATCCGGTGCCTCAGAAACATCATCCACTGGAACCTCATCTCAGCCTTCATCCTGCGCAATGCCACGTGGTTTGTGGTTCAGCTCACCATGAGCCCCGAAGTCCACCAGAGCAACGTGGTGCGTCCTGGAGGGGCGGGTCCGGGTCAGAGGAGGGGTCCGGGCAGGGCTGACCTGGCAGAGGGTGGGCCAGGGTGAGGCCTTGGGGCCCACGGAACAGGTGTGGATCCCGGGGAGTGCCCGTATTGCCAAGGGGAGGCCCCGGGCCCAGGGTGGGGTGCCGCTGCTGCCCCGGACTGTCCCCAGGCTCATTGTCATCTCTGGTGGGGGTGGGGCGGCAGGGCTGGTGCAGGTTGGTGACAGCCGCCTACAACTACTTCCATGTGACCAACTTCTTCTGGATGTTTGGGGAGGGCTGCTACCTGCACACGGCCATCGTGCTCACGTACTCCACCGACCGGCTGCACAAGTGGATGTTCATCTGCATCGGCTGGGGTGAGCGGGCCAGCACCCTGCCCGCCCGCCCATCAGGCAGGCCCATTTGTCTGCTGGGCCAGGTTGGGGTGGCGGGGTGTACACCACAGCCCTCTGCCCCCACTGAGGGGCAGGGCGGTGGGAACACCTTGAAGGAGGTGTGTTGGATGAGTGGGTCCCAGCTCTACCCTGGGGACCCCTATCTGTCTCCAGGCCCTGGGCTGCACGGGATCCTCGCAGTCCTGCACCCCAGCCCCCACTGAGTGGCTCTGTGACAGCCAGTCTCCTCCCCAGGTGTGCCTTTCCCCATCATCGTGGCCTGGGCCATTGGGAAGCTGTACTACGACAACGAGAAGTAAGTCACCTCCTTCCTTTCTCTGCCCTCAGGGCCCCCTGTGCCCCAGGTCCAGGCTTTCAGTTCAGCTCTGCCCGACACCCCCAAAGGGCCTTCAGCCATGTCCCCTTCCCTGTCAGGGCCATGGGTTCTTTGTCCATAACGAGAAGGTGCTGGGGGCTGGGCTCACTCCGAGGCTCCTTGGCAGTGCCCGAGGTGGGACTGGACGGGCGGATCCAGGCCACGTTATCTGTCCTGGGCTCTGCCAACAGGCAGGGTCACATGAGGGTCACCTGCTGTCTGTGGAGCCAGACTGTCCAGGGTCTGCACAGTGGCTCCATCACTAAGTAGCTGTATGCCTTGGTCTGCTTACTACAGTGTGCCTCAGTTTCCTCATCTGTAAAGTGGGCATCCTATTAATAGTGCCTCCCTCACAGGGTCATGGGGGCATGACATGAGTTAATACATATTACGCATTTTGAATAGTGTCTGGCACATAGTAGATGCTGTACAAATGTTTTCTATTAATTTTAAGACTTGTTTTAACAAAAGATCCCATAGGCTTCATAGAAACTGATCCAGACAATCTCAGACACTCCTTCCAGCTCCAGACTCCCGAGGTGCTTTATTAAACAGGTGCAGGTGCTCCCAGCTGCCCCTGAAAACAAGACTTCTGCTGCAGTGGCCCTAGCCTCGCCTCACCCTAGAACCAGCCCAGGAGCTTTAAAAAGCACCAGTGCCCAGGTTGCTGTCCAGGCTTGGGTGTAATTGGTTCAGAGTGTGCGCAGGTGCCGGGATGGTTTTTAACTGCCCAGGTGGGTTCTGCGGTGCAGCTGAGATGGAGAACCGCTGAGACAGAGGCAGAGAAAGGGGACAAAGCCAGGGGGCGTGCCAGGATCTTCTCCACCACAGTGGTCTCAGGAACCACTGTCCTGCCGGTGTTCCAGGCGGCTTCCATCAGTGACAACCCCTCCCCACCGTCATAGAGGGCAGCCACCACCACCTCCCTGGGATGGACAAGGGGCCTAAAAAAATTTGTGTTCACATCTATCAGGGTGATCCTTCCTGACTCTGTTTGCACAGCCGATGGGGTACAGGCCCAGTCCGAGGGGAGAGGGCAGCAGGAGCGCCGTAAATCTTGGGCGACGGCGCCTGCGCCTGCACGTGTGCAGGTGTGGGTGTGAGTACTGGGCGGAAGAGGAAGAACAGGTTTCCCACAGCGGCCCAGTGTGCATCTTAGGGGGAAAAGGACGCCAAAGTTGGCGTGAGTAACTCTGGAGCGCCACCTAATGTCAAGATGCTGACACTGCAGCAGAGGGGATTCAGACTGGAGGCCAAGGACTGGAGTTGACTCTAGACAGCTCACGTTTGGTCTGCACAGTATTATGTGAAAACTTGAATTAGTTACCAGTCTTTAAAAAGTCAAGATTTCCCACCTAAAAATCTCAGTGCTTGTGTATGGAAGCATGAGATCTAGACACTGCAGGCCTGCATGCCCACAGGGGCATCCAATCCATCCATCCTCTAGGCACGAGGAGGTGGGGCTTCCTATGGGTCCTGTCCCCGCCCACTCCACAGATCTTTGCGGAGCTCCCACCCGCTCCCCACACCTCCCAGAGCTTGCTGGAGGGAGCTCAGGAAAATGCACAGCGAGCCTGCCTCCTGCAACAGGTGGAACCTATGCAGGCCTATGGAATTCCTGCCTCAAGACTGCTCACGCTGCAATTGAAGATTCAGAGGTTGCGGGCTGCTGGGTGCCCACTACGTGGTGACAGGGGCAAGGCACGGCCCCTCCCTCGGGCATGTGCCAGAGCCACACAGGGACCGAGGGGAGCAGTGGTGTGCTGGGCCCATGCCTCTTCTGCTCAGCGGTCTTTTCCCTGGTCTCCCTGCCACACTGCCTGCCTCCTCACTGTGCCTGCTAGCTTTACATCTCAAGACAGAGGGCGCTGTCCATCCTGCAAATGGGATAACGGAGGCACTGTGGTGAGACCAAGTGGCTTGACTATTTTCAGGGGTTGGAACTGGGCACCCACAGCCTGGTTTCGGGTCCCACCCTACTTTGGCCAAGCACCGCCCTTCCCCCCATGCCACTGACCTGGACTGACCCTCGGCTCTCCTCTCCATCTGTGGCCTTCTAGGTGCTGGTTTGGCAAAAGGCCTGGGGTTTATACCGACTACATCTATCAGGGCCCCATGATCTTGGTCCTGCTGGTAAGAACCTGGGTGGGGGGCAGGAGAGAGGGGCTCAGTGTGGAGGGACAGCCAGTGCCTACTGGGGACCCAAAGGATCCCTCTGCCTGAATGTTCCGGTGCTGGTGAAGGTGGGGGAAGAGCAGCAGGGGGACCAAGACCAGACCGGAGATGGCTGAGTCCCTGACCTGTCCACTCGCCGCGGGCACACACGCACATGTCCACACCGTCCCGCCCTGTCCTCCATTGCAGATCAATTTCATCTTCCTCTTCAACATCGTCCGCATCCTCATGACCAAACTTCGGGCGTCCACCACATCTGAGACCATTCAGTACAGGTAGCTGGCCCTGCCTCCCCGACCCCGGGGGGCTCCTGAGATCCCAGCCTCTGACCCAGGGTCTCCCTGCAGGCCTGGCAGTCCCTCCTGAAACCCCCCCCCAACCGTCTCAGATGGTCCGGGCCTGCCACCCCGCCTCCATCCCCTCTGGGTGGGCTGTGACTCTGGGCCTCCCCACCCCCCACCCCAGGAAGGCTGTGAAGGCCACTCTGGTGCTGCTTCCCCTCCTGGGCATCACGTACATGCTGTTCTTTGTGAACCCCGGGGAGGACGAGGTCTCCCGGGTTGTCTTCATCTACTTCAACTCCTTCCTGGAGTCCTTCCAGGTACCAGCGCCTACTCCTCCCTCTGCCCTGGCTGCCCGCACCTCCGGGGGTGGGCATTCTCCCAGGCTGGGGCCTGGTGGGGCAGGGGGCTGGGGAGGGAAGGGAGCTGCCCAGAAACTGGGTGGGGCCGCACCGCGTACCCCCTTCACCCGCCTTCTCCCTCCGCCCCAGGGTTTCTTCGTGTCTGTGTTCTACTGTTTCCTCAACAGCGAGGTGAGGACCCCAGGCTGGGGCTCAGGATGGCGGGAGGACTTTGGGGCCCAGAGGTGGTCTGTAGTCCCTCCCCCTCTGCCCTCCACGTGCTTGCCCCCAGGTTCCCGCAGGGATGCATGGGACGCCCAGGCTGTGCCTGCAGTGGCAAGCCTGCTCCTCTGCTCTCATGGGCGGTTGACATGAAGGTGGAGGGGGGCAACCTGGGGCTTCAGTCTCATCCATGAGTCTGTGAAATGGGTTGTTGAAAACCAGGAAGCTGAGCTCTGGGGCAGGGGGTGCACGTAGGTTGAAGTTAGGGGTTCTTCATGGCAAAGGCACCCCTTCCTCGGCACACTTGAAGGAACTGTCCCAACAAATATGCAAATCAACAATGTTGCAATAGTGTTCCTTGGTGGCCTCTGCACACCTCACACCTGTGCACTGCTCACCTGTAGCTGCTTGCCTGTACAACTGCTTATGGCAGCCCTTGGGGAGGGAGGGCCGCCCTGTGACTGGGCCCCAACGCTGTGGTCTGCTCTGTGCCCACAGGTCCGCTCTGCCATCCGGAAGAGGTGGCACCGCTGGCAGGACAAGCACTCCATCCGCGCCCGTGTGGCCCGGGCCATGTCCATCCCCACCTCCCCGACCCGGGTCAGCTTTCACAGCATCAAGCAGTCCACGGCCGTCTGAGCCGGAGGGCCATGGGACGGCCCCGAGCTCTCCAGTGGGGAAGAGGGTGGCCAGGCTCAGCCGGCGGCCATGTCTGTGGAGGGGACCAGCTCCTGCCCACTCTGTACCTTCAGGGGCATTGGCATTGAGACCTGGGGGCCTCCTCCCTGACCCCAGCTGAGTGGGAGTTCTGGCCTGTGAGACCAGCCACACTCTGGGCCACAGGACAGATGGAAAGTAACCCATAAGGCTGGGCCCACGGCCTCTGGCTGCCCCACGCCCCAGTCCTTCCTGGCGATGGAGTAGGAATGGGCAGCCAGGAAATCCAAAGCAACACATGGGCCCCTCCACGGGGTGTCTTCTCCCAGAGCACAAGGTGGCCAGCGCACTGGAGACCTGGGGCTTCCTCCGCAACTGTGGGGGCCATTCACTGCCCCAGGGGCATCGTGGGGAACCCCTGCGACAGCACCCCGACCACCGCCATGATGCCTCTGGACCCTGCGATGCTTTCCAACAACACCGGGAACCAGGGCCACCTTGTCAGAGACCTGGACATGCCAGAAGCCGGTGGCATCACCAGACAGCAGGCTACGTCACCAGAGATCCTCCCGAGCCACCAGAACTCCCTCTGGCCCTGTGGCGCTGCCACCAGAGATGCCCTGCCTCGCTGCACTGCACCCTCGGACCTTCACTGCCCTGCCGGGCGCCCCTCCCTACCCTGCCCCAGGTGCCTCCTCCTCTGGGAGAAGTTGGGGGTTGGAGGGAGTGAACTGCAAGCCAGAGCCGGGGTGTGTCCCAGCCAGAGCCAGTCTCCCTTTGAGGGGGCAGGGACTACAGGGGACCATCCAACCTGCTGGCCGAAGTGACGTGGCCTCTGGGCAACCTCTCTGCTGGTCACAGAGAGCTTCATGCCCCTGGATGGCCTCTGGGGCAGCACTGTTAAGCAAAGATAGGAGAAGGGCAGGCCCCACAGCCCCTCGCTGGCCCCAGTGCCCTGGAGCAGCGGCCCTTGGGTCAACCAGCCAGCTGATCGCTTGCACCCCTGGTATAGACTGGCCCAGCGCTCCCTGGACCCACCTATGTCCAGAGGTACTGGACAGCCAGAGTGAGCTTTGGGGGTGCGGGGCTGGGAGACAGGGGTGGTGGGTGTAAATAATAATATTTATCTTTTCAACCAGCATCTGTGAGGTTTGGGACTGTGCCGGGGCTGGGTGGAGAGTGCCTGGGGGACGGGGAGGCCACCTTCCATGCTCAGGGCCGCAGTGGGTCAGGGTGCGTGGTGAGCCCTGTGAGCCGGTTGTGGGCTGAGGAGAACGGGTGGGTCCTACCGGGTCCTGTCGTCACCCAGGTGACGAGGACAGCTCTGTAAGGGAGTGAGTGATGGGGGCAGAGGATGGCACGGGCAGGGCACAGCTGGAGCAGAGGTGGCAAGGGGACCAGGGAGGAGTGTCCAGGCCCCAGGGGAGGAGCTCAGGTGGAAACAGGGAGCAGGCGGGGATGGGAGGCCAGGAAAGGAAGAGCGAGCACACACAGGTTGTGGATCCTTGGGGAGCCCGCGTCAGACACACGGCTCTGTCCTCCCTCCCAAGGGTCGAGGGGCGTTTATCCACCAGCTCCTTTGGTCACAGGGGAGGCCCAGTACCAGGGGTGGTTAATCCCCCTGCACTTCCCACCACCACTTGGGCCACAAGGAGGACAAGGGAGAGCACCCAGCCACAGCGGCATGTGCAGGGATGCGCCGAAACCCCACCCCCAGCCTCTGGGCCTCTGACCACAGGTGCACGCGAGGGCGTGTAGTGCCAGAGCGCCAGGGACGGGCCAGGGTGATGCGCTGAGAGCCCTGAAGCTCCTTAGAGGGAAGGGAGGTGCTGTGGGTGGGGGAGGTGCTCGGGGTGTCCCTAAAAGCTGTGTGAGGCACCCTGCTCTGTCCATTCCAGCTCTGTCCCCTTAAATAGAGAGATGGGGAGGGGGACCAGCTGAACAGGAGTTGTGGCAGGGGTGGGGGGGCAGGGAACGCCAGGACACTGATAGGCCCACGGTGTCCAGAGCAACTGGGGGAGAAGCCCGTAGAGTCCCGGCTGGCAGGAGGGACCAGAAGTGACTGATGAGGCCACCGCGGAGGCATCTTTCTCGACTCTGCCTTCCACTCAGTTCCACTCCATGGAGGGGGAGTGAGGAAAGGAGGCTTTTCTCGGGCGGTGTCCGGGCGTGGGGGCGGGGATCACAGTGGCACAGGCCCCTCTCTCAAGCCAAAGAGCACAGTCGCTAAAACTGCCCTTCCTGGTCCATTTCTCCTGGGGACCCTCCCTCAGGGGTGCAGATCAGCAGTGGAGGAAGAACCACAGTGGGGTGTTTTGATTTTCCACTTGGGTTCCCCCCACCTCCCTGAGTGTGACAGCAGACTCTGCCCTGGGGTCCTGGGCTTCCCCTCCAGCCTCCTCAGCCCCCTGCTGCTGCCTCCTCAGACCCCTCGGACCAGCATGGGGAGGGAGTCAGGTCTCAGAAATGCGCTTGTTAGGAGCGGAGGGAGACTCTGGAGCCCAGATAATAATCCTTTCGCTGTATGCACTTGCAGCTCTCTCTGCAGCCCACAGGATCCCTTATAACACTTATTATCCAGTCGTCACCTAGCTGATGGAGGTGGGAACCAGCCCACTTTATAGCTGAGCAAGCTGAGGCCTGGTGACTCCCCTGAGGTCGACAGTCCTCTGGCTCCGAGGCCAGGCCTCTTTCCACCCCTCAGTTGATCAAGTCGCTGGGCTTGAATCTGGGGACACCAGGACTGATAGAGCAGCTCTGGGGGAGGAGGCAGCAAGGAGGCCTCAGCGTTTCCAGCCAGTGCAGACCCGGCCACCAGAAGCCTCTGGGGATCTCTCTGCACCCACCCAGGCTCTGCCTGGCCCACACGAGGATGCCTGTGGCCTCGGGATCGTCCCATCCACCCACCTGGCTTCAAACTCAACTGCCCAGCCTTGGTCCAAACACGGGGCGGTGCTTCCTGCGCTTCTCCAGCTACGATGCTGTCATGGACTGAGTGCTGACGGGGCGCCGCACGGCTGGGCCCCTCCCATCTGCCCTCATCTACTCTCTACCACCCACTGCAGCCGGTGCTGCTGCGCCCACTTAATAGATGGTGAAAGCAAAGCGCAGAGAGGCTGAGAGCTGCCCAAGGGCACCCAGCAGTGGCACGCCTGGGTGTGAGCCCAGGCTGGCCTCACTGAACCTCCACTGCGTTTAACTTTGTAGGGTGCCCCTCCCTGCCCTACTGCCCCCTCCAAGGCCCTCCCTGGGGAAAGTCTTCAGTTTCCCCCCAGTTCGTGGACAAACAGCGTGCAGACGCTAAGCTAGATGTCAGAATGGGGGTCTGAAGCGCGAGCCTCGGGGGACCCCCTCTGAACCCAGCCCGGTCTCCAGACCGACCGCAGGCTGCCAGCCTCCCAGCACCCCGCGCCCCTGCTCCATCTCCACACGTCACCTCCTCCCTCGGCCTCCCGCCAAGCCCTGCAGAACCTGCTGGGCAGGCTCAGGGTCGAGAGAGGCCCAGGCCACATATATTTTTCAAAGCTCCCGGTGTGCGCGAACACCAGTGAGATCGGCATTCGGAGAAAACTCCAGAGAGCACCTGGAGAACTCCAACCAGCCTGTCCTGGGCGCAGTGCCCCGCAGGGGACTGGAGTTGGTCCTGGGTTTGCTCTGCTTTAAATGGTGGTAAAATACGCACAATGTAGGACTGATAGTCTCGCCCGTGTTCAAGTGCACATTCAGTGTCATTAGTACATCCACGATGTTGTGCGACCATCACCGCCCTCACAGAAACTCCGTGCCTTAAATGCCCACTCCTGTTCCGCCTCCTTCCCCCAGCCCCTGGCCGCCACAGACTCACTTTCTGCCCCTCCAGATTTGCCTGTTTTCGATATTTCATAAAAGTAGGGCCATGCAGTATTTGTCCTTTTGTGATTATCTTCTTTCCCTTAGGGCAATGTCATCGAGGCTCATCCACAGTGTAGGAGCCTGACCAGAACACCATCCCTTCCTGTAGCTGAGTGGTCGATAGTCATTCCCTTATCTGGACAAGGTGTGACAATAAACCCTTCATTTATGCGTCCATCAGGTGAAGGACACTTGAGTTCTTCCCACCCAGTCCGAGCTGCCGCCAGCAGCGCCACTCTGAACGCTCACGTGCACGTTTGCATTTGAGCGCCACTTTCGACTCTCGGGGCAGATGCGCGGCAGTGCCACTGCTGGGTCGGACGGCGACCCTCTGCTCAGCACCTCGGGGATCCGCCGAACTGCCCTCCGCTGTGGCTGCTCCATCTCACGTTCCCAGCAGTGGTGACCGAGGGCGCCCATTTCTCCATCAAAACTTATGATCCGTGTTTTTGATGGCAGCCACCCCAGTGGGTGTGTTGGTCCCTGGTTTCTAAAAGATTCAAGGCTCCCTGAGGGGACCGTGGGGCCCCAGTGAGGGAACAGATCGGATGGCGGGGGCTGGGGGGCCACAAGGGGTTTTACTCCCACAGATGTCGGTGAGGAGCTGGCTGGCCCTGCTGTGCCCAGCCTCTGCGTGCTCGGTTGCGGAGAGGTGCACCCGGTCCAGACACCCCCACACTTGGATAAGAGCGGTGTCAGCCGAGTGTCCCTCCCTAAGCACCCTGCCCGAGCACCAGTCCTTCCTTCCTCTGCCACAGGAGCCTCGCAAAGGGGCAGCCGGCCCCGCCCCACTCTCTCCAGCCCCGGCCAGGGCCCACTCGCCAGTCCCCAGAGTTTGTGCCCTGACGCACTTCTGACAGCTATCGCGTCATTGCAATGACTGCCCTGTAATCTAATCAGACGTTATGTTGACGGGTGACACAGAAGCGCACAGACGCCGGGTGATGCTGCTCCTTCGGCAAACCCAGCTGAGTGGTCTGCAAGGCACAGTCTGAGACTCACACACACAAACCAGCTGCCCAGTTAGGGGCCTGAGACAGATGTAAATAGACGAGCAGGAGGAGCCTGTCCCGGGCCCCGCGGTCCCACTTGCCAGCCACTCTGCAAGGCCCTGTGCTCTGTCTCGAGGAGTCCAAAGTGGACGGCAGAGCCAGGGTCAGACTGGTGCAGATTTCACAAGGAAGGATGGACCCCCTGCTGAAGGAGAGGCCTTGAGGAAGGTCAGCGACTGTGTGCTCATTCCTTAACGTGAAAATAAAATGTGTTTTATGGGTTGAATTGTTTCCAAAAGCAGTATGTTGAGACCCTAACCCCAGTATCTGGGACTGTGACCGTATACGGGGTTTGTGCAGATGGGATGGAGTTAAGGTAGTAAGGCCACTGGATGGATCCCAATCCAATGTGACTGCAAGAAGTCGGGAAGAAGACAGGAAGAAGACAGGAGATGCAGAGATGCACGGAGAGAACGTCATGCCACGTGCCACAGAGGCAGAGAGTGGTGTGACGTGGCTACAAGCCAAGGAGCACCAGGGTTGCCAGCCACCACCCACGTCAGGAAGAGACAGGAGGGGTCCCACCTGGTGTCTCAGAGGCATGCCCTGCGCACACCTTGATTTTGGACTTTTTGGGGTGCACTCGGACTGCTGTGTGAAATACCATAGACTGGGGGGCTTAAGCGACAGCACTTACTGCTCACAGTTCCGGAAGTCCAAGACCAAGGGGCCACCGGAGTCAGTTCCTGGTGAGAGCTCGCTCCCCAGCTTGCAGACGGCTGCCTCCTGCTGTGTGCTCACTGGTGAGAGTGAGATCACCCCTCTCTTGTCTCTTCTTACGAGGGCACCAGTCCCATTCATGACATAATTACCTCCCCAAGGCCTCCGGGGACCACCACACTGGAGACTAGAGATTAAACACAGAATGGGGGGCGGGGGGCCCCACAGAAACACATGGCCCATAGCAGACTTCTGGCCTCCAGGCTGGGAGAGAGCCAACCCTGAATTACGCCACCCAGCCTGTGACGGATCATTCGCTAAGGCAACCCAAGGAGCTGACTCAATGCGTGAAGTATATAGGTGACGCTTTAAAGATTCCCCTCTGAATCGACTTTCTCAGTAACCCCATCCCCCCCTCAGTCCCACTCATCTGGGGTGAGTGCGCTCAGGGGTGAGTTAGCCAGAGGCTCCACCGCCCAGCAGCCTGGGTTCGAGCCTCGTCTCTACCACTGAAGCGTCACCCTGGAAAAGCTTCCTCGCTGCCCTGGGCCTCGGTCCCTTCTGCTGTAAAACAGGGTCACTCAGTCACGCATCCCACACACATTTCCCGAGCAGCAGGGGAGAGTGGCTAAGGTTCCCGTCTTACTGGAACTAAATGAGGAAACACATAAACAAGCAAATACCCAGGACTGGGGTACGTGCTCTGAAGGAAGTGAATCTTGCCCTGACCAGTGCGGCTCGGTTGGTTGGGTGTCGTCCTGCACAGCGAAAGGTCGGGGTTTCGATGCCTGGTCAGGGCACATGCCTGGGTTGTGGGTTCAGTCCCCGGTGAGGGGCAGCTGATGTTTCTCTCACGTCAATGTTTCTCCCCCTCTCTTTCTCCCTCTCTTCCTCTCTCCCTAAGTAAATAAATAAATAAACTCTTTTTAAAAGTAAACCCGGAGTTGTGATCAGTACATGCTAAGCAGGGGGCTACTTTCTCCTGGCCGTGAGGTGGAGCTACCACCGGAGTCGGGGCTTGAAGAACAGGAACAGGCAGAGCCGAGCTGCAGGGCCAGGAGCCCTCGGGCATTCAGACAGCCGGGCGGACCCCTGCTAGTTCCCTGGGCAGGGCAAGGCCCAGGACGTGTGTCCAGCGTGAGAGCTGGGTCTGGGGACTGGGGCTGGGGCCCAAAGGGCGGGCTTCTCCGAGCCTTGGGCTTCCCCGGCCACGACGTGGGAGCATTCAGGTGAGGCTCAGCCAACGTGGCAGACCCACAGCAAGCCACCGGCTTAAGGAAGGTCATGCATCGCCGTCCGCGGTGAGCATCCCAGGCCACTGCTCCACACATACATCCACAGTGTCCTCCGTTCCCGTCGACGACCTGCTGCCCACGACTGCCTTGTGAGAGCGGGAAGGAGGTGGGCAAGGGGCCCACAGTCTCTGTCAGGCCTCTCAGGGCTCACACTACTTGTGCTCAGTTCCACTGGCGAGAAAGGACCATGTGGCCATTCCTTACCCCAAGGGAGACTGGCCACGAAGTTCTGGTCGCTCACCAGGAGAAAGGGGCGCAGGCTGGAAGGACAGCTCACAGCACCGGGCTAGGTGGTTCGAGTAACACCTTGCAGGGACATTACGAGGACAGATCAAATACCTGGCACCTGGTAGGAGCCCCACAACAGTGATCATGGGGGCCAGGGCTCACAGGAGCCTCAGAAACTCTCTGATCCAATGTGCCCAGCTCTTCACAGCTAAAGAAACAGGTGCAGAGAGGAGAGGCATCTGCCTGGGCCACCCAGCAGGCAAGGGGCTGAAGCTGGTCCCGAATCCTGTCTAGGATCCTCAGCCCCATCCTCCCACATCTGATTTCAAATTGCCTGGCTCGGCCCCACCTGGGGGCGGGCAGAGCAGGGACCCAGATCACCCCCCTCCAGGGGCAGTGTTGCGGGGCAGGCTCCAGAGAGGGGCCCTGTTTTCTGCAGTGGTGCCCTGAGCCCCGGGGGCCCAGCTTTATGACTCGGTAGGTGTGGCCCTGGTTTCTGGGATGGGAGCCACACTACTCTGTGACAGAGGGCCACGCCCAGCCCCTGAGAGAGGGACCCGGGCTGCCAGCTGCTGCCACATCGGGGTGACTGAGGAGGATGGCGTGCCTGGGTTTCCTCCTCCTCCTTCTCGCCAGCGCAGTGGCCCGGGCGGAGTATGGCGTGGCCCACGTGGTGTCCCAGAACTGGAGCAAGGACTACTGCGTGCTCTTCAGCTCAGACTATGTCACCCTGCCCCGGGACCTGCGCCACGCCCCACTCCTGCCGCTGTACGATGGCACCTCGGCATCCTGGTGCCCTGGCGAGGACGACTCCCACCAGGCCCCGCCCAGCTCCCCCGGCCGGCAGCCTCTACACCGGACCACCGCCCTAGTCATGAGGGGCAACTGCAGCTTCTACGCTAAGGGCTGGCTGGCGCAGGGCCGAGGCGCCCACGGGCTGCTCATCGTGAGTCGGGTCAGCGGCCAGCAGTGCTCAGACACCACCCTGGTGTCCCAGGACCCCCGAAAGCCCCTGCCAGACCTCACCATCCCCGTGGCCATGCTCCGATACACCGACCTGCTGGACATCCTCAGCCACACCCACGGCGGCGCCATGGTCCGCGTGGCCTTGTATGCACCTCAAGAGCCCGTCCTCGACTACAACATGGTGGTCATCTTCATCCTGGCCATAGGCACCGTGGCCGCGGGCGGCTACTGGGCCGGCCTGACTGAGGCTGACCAGCTTCAGCGGCGCCGGGCCCGAGGAGGAGGGGGGCCTGGAGGTCACAATCAACAGGAAGCAGTGGCAGCCCAGGGGGGACCAGAGGGAAAAGATGAGGACACAGCCGTGGACTTCACACCGGCCATGACGGGAGCAGTGGTCACCATGTCCTGCTGCATCATGCTGCTGCTGTACTTCTTCTATGACTGCTTCGTCTACGTCATGATCGCCATCTTCGGCCTGGGGGCGGGCACCGGCCTCTACAGCTGCCTGGCCCCCCTGGTGCACTGCCTGCCCCTGCAGCAATACCAGTGGCCGCTGCCTGGCCGCCGGGCCTGTCTGCCACTGCCCCTGCTGCTGCTGGCCGGCCTGTGCACGGCGGTGACCGTCCTCTGGGTTGTCTACCGCAACGAGGACCGCTGGGCTTGGCTCCTGCAGGACGTGCTGGGCATGGCCTACTGCCTTTTCGTGCTGCAGCGTGTGCGGCTGCCCAAACTCAAGAACTGCACCTCCTTCCTGCTAGCCCTGCTGGCCTTCGATGTGTTCTTCGTCTTCATCACGCCCCTCCTCACCAGGACTGGCGAGAGCATCATGGTGGAGGTGGCCTCGGGCCCGGCAGACTCCTCGAGCCACGAGAGGCTGCCCATGGTGCTCAGAGTGCCCCGGTTGAGCTTCTCGGCCTTGACCCTGTGTGACCAGCCCTTCACCATCCTCGGCTTCGGTGACATCGTGGTCCCAGGCTTCTTGGTTGCCTACTGTCATCGCTTCGATGTACAGATGCACTCACGCCAGGTCTACTTCATGGCCTGCACCACGGCATACGCTGTGGGTCTGCTGGTCACTTTTGCCGCCATGGTCCTCATGCAGATGGGCCAGCCCGCCCTGCTCTACCTGGTGTCCAGCACCCTGCTCACCAGCCTGGCCGTGGCCGCCTGCCGCCAAGAGCTCACCCTTTTCTGGACTGGCCAGGGCAGAGCCAAGACACCCGCCCAGCCCGTGGCAGGGCTCTGTGGCACCCATCCAGTTGGCTCCAGGAAGAAGTGGGAGGGCACAGCCGACATCTACACAGCCAGCGAGCCTGAGGGGGCCACCAACCACTTGGCAGGGGACTTAGACAGCAACTTCAGGGAAGACACTGCCAGGATCGTCACCATAGCTGAGGATGGAGCCACCAGCCTGGTTGGCTACAGTGACAGCTCTGAGGGCTGGAGTGATGCCATCCTAGCCCCCCAGGAGCTGCCCTGGGGCTCCCCAAGGGCCTTAGAGGAGCCAATGCCACTGAGGCCACCGAGGCCATCCCCTTCAAAGCCCGGCCAGGCCCAGGCCCAGGCCACTGGCCTGCTCTGGACGGGACTGCACAAAAGGATAGGCGTGAAGGTAGAGAACAGCATGTCGACCCAGGCTCCCTCGTGAACCAGGCCCTGGGACACGTACCTCTAGAAGGGCCGGAAGAATATTTCAAAGCAAAGGCACACGTAGCAGAAAGAAATCAGGGCATTAAAGATATTCCAGATCTACCCAGCTGAGCCTCTTTGTTTGTTAGGATGATAGGAAAGCAGCAGCCATGGAATAAATCCACATGGGGCCCAGAGGGTCCTGAGGATAGGCACCGCCCCACATCATGCAGGGGGGAAACGGAGGCTCAGAGAGGACACACGACTCGCACAAAGTGGCTCAGCAAGGTCAAGATTTCCTCCCAGGGCTTGCCAGGCCGTGACTGCATCTCTTCCTGCCTCCCCAGTGCCCATCCGGCTCCTCAGCCTGGCAGGCAGGCCCCACCCTGTCCCTGCAGCCCCACCCCAGCGTCACTGCCCATCCCTTCCTCGAGCTCAGGTCCAGCCGGGCCGGCACTGTTCCTTGGTCGTGCCACATCCTCTATGCTGTTCCCTCTGGCCGGGGTGACCTTCCCGCTCCAGACAAACTCCCAGCCCATCTCCCTGGCTCACTAAAACATTCCTCGGCATCCTTCCAACGTCAGCTCACATCCATCCTGTCTGCTCAACACCCCTGCTCTGAGCATCCCAGATGGCAGCACCCCACCCAGGGGCTCTGTACAGACCCCAAGGGCTCACCTGCTGTGTGCATTACCCTTTGAAGGGCACCGAGGCAGGCGCGGTCTCACTGGGGGATGGGTGGGAAGTGGGACACAGACAACAAACAACCTGAGGATTGTCTTAAAGAGCAGAGTAGAAGGGTTGGAGCTGGAGAGGAAGAATTTAGGAGACGGCGGCTCTATTTCACATGCTGCCTTCATCAAATCTGGGTAATAGACAAGTCTCTTAACGATCTGGGGTCTCGGTAGTCTCATCTTCATAATGGTATTTATAGTACCATGACCACCTGAAGACAGGGACATGGACAAGATAGCCTCTTGGGCCCTGGCTGGTGTAGCTCAGTGCCTGAGCGCTGGCCTGTGAATCAAAGGGTCACTGGTTCGATTCCTAGTCAGGGCACATGCCTGGGTTGTGTGCCAGGTCCCCAGTAGGGGGTGTGCAAGGGGTAACTGCACATTGATGTTTTTCTCCCCTCTTTCTCTTTCCCTTCCCCTCTCTAAAAAATAAAATAAAATCTTAAAAAAAAAGATGGCCTCTTGAGGACCCCACAGATTTTTAGTCCATATGGTGTGTTTATATATTGCTGCAGCAAAGCAAACAAACCTTGGGTTGAGGGAAGGCTTCCTGGAGGAGGCTATATTGGAGGTAAGGGAATCACGTCCTGACAGGCAGTGTGGGGTACAGTAATTAGGGTTCTAGAGCCAGCTGCCCACCAGAAACTCTTGCTCTACTACTGACCGGTACTGTGTCATTGAGCAAATGACTTAACTGTTCAGTGCCTCGGTTTCCTTATCTGTGAAATGGGATGATAATGACCCACCATGGGGTTTTGGTGAGGTTTGAATGAGTTTATGTTAGATGACTGACACCATGTCTGCATGTAGGATGAGCTCTATGAATGTTTATTTATATTGGTTCCCTTCGTGAAAGCCTTTTGGAATCAAATCCAGCTCCTACAAGGCCTTCAAGTTCTGGCCCCGACTTCCTCCCATCTTCCTTCCACGCCCGCCATTCCTGCACCTACCATCATGAGGGAGTAGACAGCAGACCCCACACCACTGCTGTCCCCCCAGGGCCCTCCCACAGGCTGGTTCTTCTTTCCCTCCTCCCACCCCCAGAACTGGGCCCGGCCAGCCCTCTCCTCCAGTCCCAGCTCAAACACCCCCTCCTCCAAGGCCTTCCTTGACGATCCTTTCTGAACTAGCCCCCAGCCTCAATCACAATACTGTACACGCTATTTGCTAGTTTTCTTACCCACCCTCCCCACCCCCATTGACTATCAGCTACTTTATCAGATACTTTCAGGGCCTAGAACAAGGCCTGGTGTGTAATAGATGCTCATTGTATGTTTGTTGGAGGAAGGAAGGAAGGAAGGAAGGAAGGAAGGAAGGAAGGGAGGGAGGGAGGGAGGGAGGGAGGGAGGGAGGGAGGAAGGGCTGAGGAATTAATCTACCTTGAACCATGGAGAAAGAGGGGACCGCATGAGGTAAGGTTCCCAGGCCACCTCCCTGCAGGGCTCACACCTGCAGGGCCTTGGTTGTGTGAAGACACGACTCTTAGGGGACTGGCTGGGCACTGGGGAAGGGGGTTAGAGGGCTCGTGGGGGTTCAGGTAACAGGCATCTAAAAGGAAGCCCCCCTTGCTGGTCCCCTCGGCAAACAGCACCTGACAGCCTGGGCTGGACAAGGGCAGCATGAGGAGCCTGGGCCAGGACCCCGACTGAAGGTGTTGACAGCCTCTCCTACTGGAGCCAGAGGCCATCTGGCCAGGACAGAGGGGCCTCTGCAGGCCCTGGCTTGTCCCCAGCCCAGGCAGCCTCCCACTGCTGATTTGCGTCACTGGGCCTGCCAGGGGTGGGCTGCACCCCTCTGCCGGGCCTGCACCCCTCTCCCAAGGGGGAGGGCTGGACAGAGCCAAGCCCCTCAGCACCCCCTCAGCCCACAAGACTGGGGGACAAGGGAACTCTTCTCTCCCAAAAAGAGAGGTAAAAGAGAGCCACCTTGCAGCCAGGGTGGCTCTGAGGACACTGGGCTAGAGCTCCCTGCAGCAAGGTAGGTGCCTGAGGCCAAGGAGAGGAGACTGCACGGGACAGCCTGGCCACGTCCGCATCTGAGCCCACAGAGTCCACTCTGCCCTCACTGCTCCAACACTCGGAGAACACTCAGCAAACACTCAGAGAACATTTTATCTACAAAATGGGGAGAACAACACAACCACCCCAAGGGTTGTGCTTGGTATTAAACCACCCAGGTGAAGAGCTGAGCCTGGACTCGGAATCCGTGCTGCTACTCTATGATGACCCAGGGTCCCCTGCACCTCCCTGGCCCCCACAGCCGTGCTCCTCTTAGCTTCAGGCTCAGCCTTACTTTGCCAGTCCCCTCCCAGGGACCGGGCCAAACCCAGGTGGCTGGACCAAGCTGCCACCTGTCACAGGTGCCCAGAACTGGCAGCCTCCACCCGAATGTCAGAGGAACACAGGGTACTGCACATGTGTATGTATACCCATGTACACACGTGCCCACATCTATACTGTGCCCTCAGGCATACATGCACATACACACCCTCACACACCCACACACACATGTGCACACTCATACCCGAGCACATACACACTGAACAAGCACACAGACCTGTGCATACCCTACATATGTGTACACACATACACCTGGGCTGTGACCCTTGCTGCTATTCCCTTCAGACCTTGCCCTCCCCTCCAGGCCTGTCCTGGGCCTGTGGGAGTGGAGGGGCTGGTGCCTAGATTTCCTACCCCAGAAGGCAGAGTGGCCCTTTTCCCGTGGGCCACTCTGGTGATGGGGGCTGACCCAGCTGCTGGGCAGACACTAAGACATGCCACTCAGATGCTCAGACCGCCCCTCCTCTTTGAAATGGATGGCTGGCCAGCAGCCCCCTCCAAGGCTGCTCTTCGAGGAGATGGGGGACATGGGGGGCCAGCCAATGGTGAAGCAAGACAGCAGCACCAGGACCTGGCATCGCCCCACAGCGCCTCCTCTCACAAGTAGCCTATGCTCCCAGCCCCTGGGCTGGCAGAGACGGCAGCAGGCCTGCGTCCCAGACCAGTGCCTCCCCTGCCCTCACCTGCTCCCTCCTTCTGCCCTTTGCACTCTGAACTCCATCCCAGTGTCAGCTTCCTGAAGAGCACGGCCTGTGACAGGTGAAACCTCAGGTGGGGCCAGGGCAGGAAGAGACTTACCAAGGCCCAGCCCATGCTTTGCTCAGGCCACCAGTAATTCTCTCTGTGACCTGTTTAACCTTGGAGAGAACCCCATGAGCAGAAGAGTCGAGGACTTGTTTTGTTGTCGTTGTTGTTGGAGTTTGGGGGGGTTGTTTTTTTTTGTTTTGTTTTGTTTTAGTTAATAAAGAGTTTGGTACTCTGGATTCCCTCGACAGTGAGAAGTAGGAAGGACCCCTGAGCTGCCCTAACCCACAAGTGAGGAAAGGAAAGCCCAGAGAGGGTCACACTTGCCCACTGCCACACAGCAATGAGATGGCAGAACTGGAACAACTGTTTGGCCTCTCAGCCCAGCAGCTGGGTCAGCCCCCATCACCAGCCCCCTCCCCTCTGCACACCCTGGTCTGCAGAACATGCCCCCCAGGAACACTCTGCATCTTCCCACTCCCTTGCCCGCGGCCTCAGTCGGTGCAGCCGCCGCTCTCAGTGAGCAGCTGGCGTGTTGTTTGATAAGGACAGTTTGGGATTCGGCAGCAGGCATCTCCTTGGCTAGCTGACTGAGCCGCTGAGACCAGGATTCAGTGCTCTATGGAGCTCTCCAGTGGACACTGGACACCTGAGGCCACCCTCTGCACCTTGATCCCAGTGTCTGTAAAAAGTCTGCCCAGACTTGCCCGTGGGCTGTGGTACGGGTTAGATACGGTGAGGTGTGTGCACAGATAGCTAACATTTGCTGAGCACTAACAGGTATACATGTTACTCATGATATGACGCCCAGATCTTGGCATCCCCCCAAATGCTCCCAAATCAGCTTTCCGTTCCTTGGGGTGAGCTCCCAAAGGTGGCTTCATCCTCTTCACTTGGTCCTCCCTCCCACGCCCTCTGGGATGTGGTGTGTGGGTGGGTGCCTAGCAGCTAACCCAGGTCACCACCACGGCAGAGTCAGGAAGAGAGGTCCCTGTGCAGTTTGACTAAAAGCGGAATGTTTTGTGCCTGTTCATTCCCTGAAACCTCAGTTTGAGCGCTCCTGTGCTGCCACCTGCTGGTCAGTCAGATAAGAGCAGGCGAGTTTGGAATAATTACAGTCAGGATGATGTTCAAAAGATATACACTGACCTACCCATCAGCAGAGTTCTGAAGCCCATAATGGCCCCAGGGTCAACCCTTGG